GGCGGTCGTAGCAGATAGGCAGACGTAATGCCACAGTGTACGGTAACATTTTGGTTCTACCATGCATACGGCTCTTTCTGCCCTTCTCTCCCTCTCCCTTACTCTCTCTCTCTCTCACTCACTCGCTCTTTTCTATATCCCTCTCTTCCTATCTCTATCTAGTTATCTACCCTCGTCCTTGCAACTTCAAGTTCCTCCTGTCCGTTCGTATTTTCGCATACATTCTTAAATATTATATTTTCTACACCGAGAGAAATTTAAGATTCGCCAGAATTCTGATTTCACCGTTGGGTAGTACATTGCTACCGACTCGAGAAAAAGAAAGATTTAAAGAAAAGAGGAGGAGACTTTTTTTTTTTTCTCTCTCTCTCTCTCTCTCTCTCTCTCTCTCTCTCTCTTCCTTCGTATTTCCAACAGCCGCGGAATTAATGATATTTCATGTCGTCGCATCTGTAGCACGGCAAGGCGATCTAGGTCGGCCAGTAAAATAGCTCTCGCCAAAAACGTTAACTCGTCTTTTCTGTAGATGTTCATAAATATTCGTTTCGAGTAATTCGCTTTTGTAACGGGGAAAATCTGAACAAAATATAATTCATACGATAATAAGGATAAGATCTTGTATAAAGAAATTCGATGACAATAATTGGACATATTTTTGATTATCTCGTTAAAAATATATATAGAAAAATATTAACTAGCTGCAGATAAAGAAAAAAAAAAGTAGTCCCAATAAAGGGACGAAACGTCCAATTAATCAAAACAAAGTTCTAGTTCTTTTTAATGTCCAAATTCCCTACGATACCTATTTATTAAAATAGGGAACGGTGATTAACATAATCATTTTTCCTTTATTGCTACGCGATTTTTAAATATACGATAAACATTGGTAAACACACACACACAAAAATTATCAAACGATAATTAAGAAATATTCGGTAAATTACAAATTCACTCATACAGATCGCGTGTTAGAATCTAACGAATATTATCTTCTTAGGTTTCGTGTTAAAGGTTACATAAGCGCGATAAGATAAAAGTAACAATCTAATCTGTGTATAAGGTAAGATATAAAGCTGATAGACAGCACGAAGCGTACATTAGCCCGGATTGTCGGTATGATCGGTCGGTATTCCAAACTGTAGAAAGCTTCGCGTCTAGGACCGTGTTTGAACGTGTAATATCAAAAGCGCCCGCAGCGATTTGATTCCCATTGTTTCATCAGCGTGGTTATCCAGGCAGACCTTTGATCCCAAGCAATTTTCTCTCCAAGTCCTCCTCGAGGACGAGGACGACAACGACAACGACTACGACAACGACTGTATGACTACGAGACGAGTACAAGGACTTTAGTCCTCATTAAAATCTTCTAATACCATTGAAACTTGGGTACGACTATTTACACTTTTAATCGTCTACTTCGTGGCCACGTACAATTTAATACTCTCAACACTCTTTCTTAATCCTCCTCGTATTACAATTTTATCCTCGAATATACCTTCAATTACCCACCCCAAGTATATTTAATCGTTGCCCGCTCCCTCTAAAAACAACGTCCTGATTATACCGAGTACATATCCCTTGCAGCTCATATCGAACCAAAGAGAAGGGAGGAAAGTAAACTAGATGAAAAAACAAAAATCGATTAGTCGGTTCTCAAGCGGTCGCGTGCAATATATCGCAATCTTGCTTGCTCTCTCTCTCTCTCTCTCTCTTTCTTCCTCTCTTTCCGCACGATTATAATCCTCTTTGTTTTCATCCTTTCTCTTTCTCTCTCTCTCTCTCTCTCTCTCTCTCTCTCTCTCTCTCTCTTTCTCTTTCTTTATCCTTCGTTAATCCATCGAATATCCTTAGCTCATTGCTATGTCATTATTTAACATGAGTACGTAATAGAAGAAGCCATGAAATTTCCGTTCCCTTTTGAAAGAGAAGATAAAAAAAAAATAATAAGGAGAAAAGGAAATTAAAAACCAAAAGAGAGATAGACTGATAGAAAGAAAAAGAGAGAAAGAAAGAGAGAGAGAGAGAGAAGAGAAAAAAAACAGAGTAAAGCAATTCAAATGGAACGCATTCAGATCTCGTTACAGAGCACGGTGAAACCCGATTCATTGGTCTATTTATTCGCAAACAAACGCCTTGAAGTGCACCCTACCAGTGCGAAAAGTTTTCCAGTGGCAATCGAATTCAAGACGAGACGCACGCAAGCAAGCAAGCAAGCAAGCGAAGCAAGCGAAGCAACGAACTCCGAGATGGCCGTTGCCGATTGTGAACGAGTTAAAAAAGGGCTTGCAAAGCGTGAGAAATAAAGAAAGACGTGCCACCCGTCGCCTAGTTGCTGCTACACGAAGAAATTTCTGCGTTGAATCGATGCACACAAACTGCGTCAAGACTTCCACCTACTAAACTCCACCTCACCCCAACTCCACCCCTTACGAACATTCATCCCTTTCCAACTCTAACTATAGATCCGTGCGGATTTTATTCCGCGTACATCGTCGAATGCATTAGAGGCCGATCTTTCTTTTTCCTTTATTTCTTTCTTTCTTTCTTTCTTTCATTTTACTCCTACCTTTTTCTCTTTCTCGTTCACTTGTTTCTACCAGCACGCGATTTTCTATCGAACAGAGAGGAGACGCGTCAAACGTTTCGAAGATTTATCGATCCAGACGGTTATGTTAAATCGACGTGGCAACGTGCCGTGACGAGAAACGCGACGTACGCCAATTACCTATCTTTCTATCTATCTATCTATCCTACGCTACCAGAATCCAATTCGATCAAATTCGACCATTCATGCGAAACGAAACTTCTACGAATTTACGAGATTTCATTAAGATTTACGTTACATGGTTAACTTACTTATCTGGGTACGAGATATTCGAGAGAGGGAAAGAGAAAGAGAGAGAGAGAGAGAGAGAGGAGTGGGTGAGAGGGATGAAGAGAAAGGCATAGATTCTTCGAAAACTATGTAATACATATAATATGTATCACAAGTAGATATTTACATACAATCGATTCCATTTAGTCAGTTTCATTGAACTCGTGAAAATTCTCATTTCATCGTTGTTACGTCCTTGTAAAATGTGTCGAGAAACGGAAGTTGGAACATTTCGTGTCCGACCGAATCGTGTTCGCGCGAAACATATACACATTCATACACGCACATACAAATACACGTGCGTATACGTGTACATGATACGCGCTTGAGACTCGTGACATGTTGGAATCATCGTCACCGATGTTACTACACATCCGTGTTATGTTCGTTAATGGTTCATTCGTTTTTAGATACTTCACGAGTTCAAACAGTGTATACCTTAAAAATGTTCTGATTTATTAACGATAATATATAATGGATGGAAAAGAAAAGTAAAATTGAAACAAAAGAAAAAAGGACAAATAATATAGAAAAATAAAATTATATAATTTATCGTTCCCATCATAACCCTTTTGAAAACGAGCTTAATAGACATGTACTACGGTTACGTATCTATGGATTATTTAAATGAGGTCAGAACTAAAGAGAGAGAGAGAGAGAGAGAGAGACGTTTCTCCAACGCGAACCTACTCCCTGAGTTTCCTCGAATAGTAATTCGGCGTCGAAAGCAAACATCCTAAATCACCTAGCCGATGCCACAGGATACGTTGCATTCCTCAAAAATTTATATCACCTATATTGGTTGTGTATATAGGTATGTTTGTTATATACAGGGTGAGTCAGTTAAGATCGACCACCTGAATTATTTCTACAATTTTAGTGATAGGATAAATAGTTTCAATTGCAAGTAGTTTGCGATCGAATGAATTAATTGCATTATTAGGAAAATTTTGTCCCTCATGTAGACGCGTAACAGATTGGAAGATCATTGTCGTCATTTTAAATGAGACTATACATTTTTGAAATCCTAAAATCGTAACCCTTTTTCAATTCTGGACAATTTCTATTATCTTTCTAATTATCTTCGTGCCAACATCATGGATATGAAAAAAATAAACGGCAGACAAATGAAAATTAATCTCCGATGTTTTTCAAACGAATTACTACTCGACATCGGTTCGTATGTTCTAATGGAAAATACGTAGTTACACATTTCGCGTATACACAATTTGTTTGTAACTCTGTAACAAAGTGTTTTCTGACAAACTTTGTAGAACATTTTTATCCTCTTTTTTTACATGCACCTAAATTAAACTCTCGCAATTTGATCATCTAAGTTTGGGACACCCTGTATGTAGATACAAACGTAACTGCACGTATGTGTGTAGAGGTAGCTTTCCTAGTGATAGAATCACATTTTGTTCGCAATGCGAGGAATCACTTCCACGATAAGGATTCCGTTTTTCAAAAGTAAAGATTTATAAAAGTAACGGATATATATAGGTTTCTTCCTATTTTTGAATCATACTACTACGTTTTTCCAAATTTATAATCAGTTTTATTGCTACTTTAACAAATAAAATAGAAACAAAAAGATCAAAGAACTATCATCGATAATTTCGTTCATTGCAAAAATTGGATTCCTTTTTTTTATCTTTTTTCAAGGATATAAACGATTACTTTTATTTTTATTTGTATTTCATTGTGACACCGGTATCCTTGTTTTTTTGCAATGCAATGAATCGAACAACCCGTTCTTTTATTTCCGATCGGTGTATTTCACGAGTCTCGTCTTACGTAACACTCAAACGAATATGCACATCCCGTTACAAATCGTCGCACTTTTTCTTTAGCTAGAGTATATTCATACCAGGCTACGTTGTCACTATAACAAAAGAAAAATTGAGAAAGAAAAGGTTAAAATTTGAAGCGATACACCATCTACTTCGAATATATCGTTACCGATACGATATCTCGTAACATCTTACACGCGTATATTAAAATCATATTTTATTTGAATCAATCCTTTTATTATATTTTCTATTCTATTTTTTCTTTTTTTTTTTTGTAACGTTTACACACAGGACTACTTTGAAAAAAGATATTAATGTTATTCCACCATCAGGTCTTTTCATTTCAGATCGGCGTATACCTTACAACATACCGTCAGACTGGCGAGCACTGTGGTTGAACAATTTAGATGAACTACAAAAAATCAACGATGCGAACGACAACAACACCGTATCGAACGTCACAGTACAATTGGGTGGCACGGCTTTCTTGCACTGCAAAGTTCGCAATTTGGCAGACAGAACCGTCTCGGATGCCGAGGTAAGGAAGTTATTTCGTGTAGTTATATCATTGAAAATAACATTGATTTCATCTCTATGTTATACGAAAGATTTCCTCTCAACTTATAATCCTACCCTATCGTAATACTTTTCTTTTATAATTTAAACAACGATTACGCAAACGCATTAGACTGTATCAAATACGATAAGAGAAACAACAGCAACAACAACAAAAAAAGGAAAGAAAAAGTTAAAAAGAAGAGTAAACAAAAAAGTCAAGGAAAAAGTTTACTTTTCCAACGTTACTAACCCGGACTGCTATACTACCAATTGCCTCTACCTAAATAATATAATATATATAAGAGCATACACGTGTATGTACACATAGCTAGTTACGCTGGTACCTACTACACTTGATATCAAAAAGAAGAAACGAGAAAGAAAAAAAAAGAAAAAAAAAGTATGTGGAAGGAGGAGGAGGAATGAGCCGAGAAACACGTCTTTTCTTATTCCAAAGTAGAAGAGAGGAAAAGGCAGACGCAGCCCTCTTTCCAGATCCCTAGAGAGTCTCGAATCTTCTTGTAGTTTCACGGCCCGAACGTTCCGACTTTCTTGGCAACGAATCGAGCAACACCAGCACCAGCAGCAGTAGCAGTAGCAGCAGCAGCAGCAACAACAACAACAACAGCAGCAGCAACAGAGTAGCAGCAACAACAACAACAACAACAGCAGCAGCAGCAGCAGAGTACCAGCAACATCCTGCAACGAGCGATGCGAATCGGCCGACAGATTTGGGTTATCCAAGTGGTCCATTGTCCGTGCGTGCCGAGCCATTGTGAGGCTTCGCTTCCGTCTCTCCCGTTATCCACCACCACCTACTCCTCCTCCTTCTCCTCCTTCACCTTCTCTTTACCTCTACCTATAGAGGAACGTGTCCTAATCCCTTTACGAGCGTTAATTTTATTGCCATGTTTATAGAGAAGCTAGTGACACACTAGTGTGCCATCCCGAAGGTCTACGCGTTGCTCGGTTTTCTCCGAACACCCTTCGCGTAACTCCATTAACGCGTTAACGATCGCAAAAGGCTTGATTAACGACTAACCAACGTTGAGATCTCGCGTGTTTCGATAGCATTTCGCAGCAACAACAACATAGTCGATTTTCTCACTCTCCCCTCTCACCCTCTCTCTCCCATCTCTCTCTAATCCCTTTCTCTTCCTATTTCTCTTTCTAACTATGTTCGAATAGAGCTACGAAATTTGGAATTTACGTTCGCAAACGCAACCACCAACGAGAATTCCATTCTAACAATCGATCTCTCTCTCTCTCTCTTTCTGTTTCACTCTCGCTCTCTCTCGCGTTCACTTTGTTTATGTTCCGTCCTCGTTGAACGTTATTCAAGGTGGATCTTGATTCCGGCGAAACTCGAGTGCGCTGCCAAGATAAGCAAAGGAGGTCCGCTCAACTCCGTTTGTGCGTGACGTTTGCGTTACACCCGACCGCCCATTTTAATCTGACACTGTAAATATTTTCGCGCGCGACCACAAGGAAGGTAGAAAATAAAAAAAAGAGAAGGAAAGAGAGAGAGAGAGAGAGAGAGAAGTATAAAGAACACCTTGCAAGAGCCGTTGCTCTTTTTTTCCAATTATTTTATGATTTTTTTTTTTTATCGATCTTTTCGCTGTTATTTTTTTCCATCGAGTCGAAAGTATTTTCTTTATTTAATCGTTTCAAGTAGAATACTTCAAAATAATATTTATATATTTTTCAATAGTTTTTGTACTAATCAGTATCTTTTTTTCTATGATAATAGTATTAACTTAATTCACCCAATAAGAAATATGATTCTTCTATTATACGAATATAGTATAGAAGTAGCGTATAACTGTTACAATGAAAAGATTTATATTTATATTAAAAAAAAAATTGAAAAGCAAACTTGTTATAAGTCAATTGAATTTACAATTTGTTGGTATCTTTTTTTGTTTTTCATCTTCGATGCGAACCAAACACTCTTCAATATAATTATAATAAGTATAAAAAATATATATATATCGTTATTACTTACGTTGTATCAAAAAGTTTCTCTCGGTTTTTTAATTATATACACTTTATGTGTCCAGCGGCTAATTATTTTCGTTCCGTTCTAGTTAATTCTCCTCTTCCATTGATACATTCGACCGTAACGAAATATTATGCTACATATATGCATGTACCGGTAATTGAACTGTGTTCAAAAATTGAAAAAGAATTAATAATTTTAAAATTTATATCATATTTAATTTACTAATATTATTAAATAAATCATAAAAATAAATTTTTTAAAACTTTTTCACTTATTGCTAGTCCATTATTTTAATTATCAGTACATGTAGGTATAATGATCTTAAAATCTACAATGTAAAATCTTCGTAACACGGTCGTATGATTTTTCAGACCACATTTAAATGTAGAGAGAGAGTAATTCCTTTTTATTCAAAAAAAGTAGATTGAAAACTTAATTCATTATAACGTTTGGTTTTCTTTAACTAAATGTGATTTACATATGGATATATGTAAATGTTCACGTAATTCTATTCTATCCCGATAAAATCAATGTTATGCGTATGCATGTTCATGTTCGTATGTATACATGTATGTACACGTGTGCATGATAAACACTTGGAACTATTACATACCTGCGTCCAATTACGATATCGTCATCAATATTAGATCATTATCAAAATGAAATTTGTAAATTAATAATCCAAGTAAAAAAAAACTCTTTGTGTTAGTTTATGATGTTTCACGAGTACACATTCATTAAAGGATAAAATTAAATAAAACGATAGACGCGTCACGAATAAATTAGAAACATTTATCAGAAGGGAAAATAATTCGTCATAAATCGAACGCGATATCAAAGTTTCAACTATCTTTTTCTTTTTTTTTTTTTTTCTCAAAGTTATCCACTTATAAAAAGCAAGTAGCATAGAAGGGTACCTACCGAGCGTAGAATATCGATCTGTTCGATTCCAAAGGAAAAAGGAAAGACTTATTGAAGTTGACAAGAATTTATTTTACGGGCGAGCTTTCATCTTGAACATTCATTGACATCAACGAGAGTTGGCAGAACAAACGTCACCAAAAGATGGAAACCAGTACTGGTCTAGAAATGATAGGGAGAAGGGAAAAGGGAAATGATGGCGGGGAGGACGGACTGAGGAAAGAGAAAAAGGGAAAGAGGATAAGAAGTTTTAAGTCAAGGAAAAACACGTCGAACGTTTCCGGTTAAACTCAGTCTATCGTAAAAAAACTTCAAACGAGAGTAAGGAAGAAGTCCTTTTGGAGAACACGAAAGAAGATTCTTCGGAAGGAATGGGAAATCTATTGAAAAGTACGGGCAAGTTGATGCTTGACCTGGGAGTTTTCAATGGGCACCACCAGCGGCCTTCGTCGAGTGGATTAAGTTGTCTTCCCGTTCAAAATCTTCCTTCATAATTTGGACCAGAATCCGATTTATTCGAGACCAGACGGATAGATTTTATAAGAGAAGGGAAGGAAAAGAAAAAAAAAAGGTAAAGAAGGAGAAGGAAATAGGAAGGAGGAAAGGGATAGATCGATAATTCTGTTCGTTACTCGAGTAAAAGTTTAACACCATAAACAGTTCGATCGTATCGGAGAAACGTCTATGTTCTAAACCGTCGATAAACGAAGAGGCTGTAAAGTAAAACGTCTATCGTATAAATACAGATACATGTAATATATCAAAAGTATTTTATATTCCTCTATATGTGTGTGTGTGTGTGTGTGTATTTCGGTACGAGATCGATATTTGGAAAATGATATAGGTAACTAGATATCATGATAAGCGCCATACAAATACGTATTATTATGCGTAATCCGAGAATTCAGCCCTTCGCATGCTTTATGTCAAGAAAACGACGTCGAAACGCGACGACCGTGATTGGTTTTCGTCGGTTTATGCCTTATGTTTTATGCATTCTCTTTCCGCAATAATCTTAAAACGGTTGGGGAGAAGAAACAAGAAGGAAGAAACAGTCATGAGCAAGAAGAAAGAGAGAAATTAGAAGGAAAAGGATAAAGAAGAAGAAGAGGAGTGGGGAGTGGGGGAGGGGGTTGAAAGAAAAAGAAGGGAAGTTGTATATAAAAGGGAAAAGAGAAAAGAAGGTGAATCTCTGACATTCCTTAGAGACCCGGATTACATTTCCGACTATCACAATTTTCCCGTTCGTGCGGATATCGTCGTAGTCTTTTCTTCAAAATTGTCTTACAAGTTCGTTTCGACGAAATGAATGTACATAGGATATGAAATCGACGATAGACGAGTTTAGATACGTGTACCTCCTTCTCTCTGTGTATATATTCGTGGTTTTCGGGCTTTCGCTCCCTTTCGTCTTGCAAATTCCTTAAAGCACTTTGGGGGATTCAACGTTGTGTATCGCGTATACACTCGAAAATTCTATTTGCGATTATTCGTCCTTCATGTATAATTAACGGGATATGCTTTAACACAAAGGTATTCGTAATCTTTCAGTTTACCGTAAATTACATCACAAAAAGGAGACAATAGGAAGAAAAATTCATTGAAGTAGACCTATTACGATAATAAATGATATTAATAAATTACTTATTTCAAATCGAATAAAATGACTATCGTATAACACATGCGTTTCCGAGCGTTGGATTTAATTAAACTGATAAATTAATTTACCTTAGTGAATATGGAAGGAAAATTCAAGATCGTAAACAATATCGGAGATTAGGATAAATCTTTTCAAAAACTTGTTTACATCTTTAAGACGATCTAACATATATATATATATGTATATGTTACCGTCATAGCCGGAAATCCGCCATTGCTAGTAATTCCTCGGCATTCTCATCAATGCAAAGAGCATTCCGATGAAGTCGGAAACAGAAGAATTCATACAGTTTTTCCTAAGTATTGAACATAACACTTTGATATTCTATAGAATATCAAATTACTATTTAAACAACATTGAAAAAAATACATTCTCAGGCACAGACACACACAGCCATACGTAACCCCTCCCCCCCCTAAACCTTTGCAAATCAATTTATAACTCGATAAGATATTTTACACGTAGGAAAAAGAAATTGCAATGCTGTAAATTGTGCATCTTTGCAATTTCTTTGAAAACTTTTGGTAAATATTTTTTATACTAAAAGTATATAGATTTTAATGAAACTTATATTAAATTAAAGTACACTCTTTTGTCTACGCGTAGAA